AAAAACGTCATAGTATAGTAAGACATGAACAGTTATAGTAAAGTAAATCATAAAAAAAGTCATAGTACAGTAACGCATAAAAAGTCATAGTAAAGTAAGGCATAAAAACATCATAAAAAGCATCATAGTATAGTAAGGCATAACAAAACGTCATTATATTGTAAAGCATAAAAATGTCATAGTACAGAATGGCATAAAAACATCATAGTATAGTAAGGCAGGAAAATTCGTAGGATAGAAAGGCAAAAAAAATGTCTTAGTATAATAAGGCATAAAAACATTATAGTATAGTATGGCATAAAAACTTCATAGTATTGTAAGGTATAAAAATGTCATAGTATATAGTAAGGCATGAAAAAAGTCATAGCATAGTAAGGCAAAAAAACGTCATATTTTCGTCAGGCATAAAAAAATCAATAGTGTAGTAAGTCATGAAGTAGTATTGTAATAAAGTAGTATAGTCATAGTTCAGTAAGGCATAAATATGTCATAGTATAGTCGGTCATTAAATAAATAAATAAATCAATAGTGTAGTAAGTCATGAAAAAATGTCATATTATAGTGAGGCATAAAAATTCATAGTATAGGTAGGCATAAAAAAGTCATTGTATAGTAAGTCTTAGAAAAACGTCATTGTATAGTAAATCATAAAAATGTCAAAGCATAATGGGCAATAAAATGTCATAGTATATTCAGGCATAAAAAAAAAATCAATAGTGTTTTAAAGGTGCATTATGCATTGCTGCATGACGTCACTTCTGTTGACGTTCGAAGTAAATACCAAACAAAACAGAGCAAGCTCGCCCCTCCCACCCATGTTTGCATCGGACTGGAAGCCCTTCTGCCGGCGGAGTTCTCGCCACCTTTGAATCAATTCCCCAATATAAATGCGGGTCTTCGTTCGTTCCTTCTCCATTTTTCTCCTCCTCGCCATATATTCATCTGAACATCTTTTCTTTGGTCGTGTCCGTGCCTTGGCCATTTCCCAAAATATATCATTGAGTCGTTAGACCTAGTTCATGGCGCTGTCCAGCTATCTACTCTCAGATACTCACGCTACTCTATCAACTCTGCTCACTCCATATGTGCACGTGCACTAACCCCCACCCCTGTGTGTATTCAGGGGGCCGGCACCTAGTGGATCAAGGGGAGATGCCTATGATTTGAGACAAAAATAAAATCGCGCTGAAACCATGCAGGAATGCATAGTGCACCTTTAAGTCATGAAAAAACATCACACTATAACAACGCAGAGAATTTCATAGGATAGTCAGGCAAAAAAACTGTCATAGTATATATAGTAAGCCATAAAAACATCATTAAAAAAGTATCATAGTATAGTAAGGCATAGAAAGTCATAGTATAGTATAGTATAGCATAAAAACCTCATACACAAAACGTAATAGTATAGTTAGGCTTAACAAAATGTCATAATATAGGAAGGCATAAAAATGTTATAGAACAGTAAGGCATAAAAACATCATGAAAAAAGTATCATAGTATAGTAAGGCATAAAAACATCATAGTATATTGAGTCATTAAAACATCATCGTATAGAAAGGCATAAAAAGTCGGATAGTAAGGCAAATAAGTCATAGTATTGTAAGGAATAAACACATAATAGTACAGTAAGGCACAAAAATGTCATAGTATAGTAAGGTTTAGAAACATAAGACAGTAAGGCATACAACATTATAGTTTAGTAACTCATAAAAAAGTTATAATATAGTCAGGCATGAGAAAGTCATTGTACAGTAAGGTATGAAAACGTCATTGTACAGTATGGCATAAATAGCCTTAGTATAGTAAGTCATAAAAAACGTCACAGTATAGTATGGCAATAAAAAAAAGTAATTGTATAGTAAGTCATAAAAAAACACTCGGTATATAAAGGCTTAAAAAGTCATAATAGAGTAAGGCATTAAAAAATCATTGTACAGTAAGGCATAAAAAATACATAGTATAGTAAGGGACATGTCTTTACTATCCACCTGAAAACCTTCTCCCTTGTTTGTTTAATAGAGCAGATGACAGATATGATATCGCAAAACCGTACAACAGGGAAACCATGATTTCAGTAGGAGAGTGTTTCATCTGTACATAGATAACCAAATACCTAAATAATTACCTTGTGAGAGCAGTTTTTTATTTTCATGATAACGATCGACCATTCAGGACTAAACTGAAAGAAGAGAAAGTTCAACTTTTCTTTTTTGTTTAATGGGGAGAGATCACTTATTATTTATTCATCTGTCTCTTGACTCTCTTTCCTTTGCTAACTATCTATCCTTTTGATACTTCAGTTTTTGTCATGGATGTAAACTTTTAGCACACAATCAGACTGATATAACAAACAAATAAACAATGTGGTCCGGCCACTTGGCTTATCACAGAGATAGCACTTAATGCAAGGGATAATTTCATTTTAGAACATTTAAAAACATTATTTATATAAATATACACTCACTGGTCACTTTATTAGTTACACCTGTTGAACTGCTCCAACACAAATGTCTAATAAGCAAATCACATGGCAGCAACTCAGTGCATTTAGGCATGTAGACATGATCAAGACAATCTGATGAACTTCAACCCGAGCATCAAAATGGGGAAGAAAGGTGATTCAAGTGACTTTGAACTTGGCATGGTTGTTGGTGCCAGACAGGCTGGTCTAAGTATTTCAGAAACTGCTGATCTACTGGGATTTTTACACACAACCATCTCTAGGGTTTACAGAGAATGGTCTGAAAAAGAGGAAATATCCAGTGAGCAGCAGTTCTATGGGCAAAAATTCCTTGTTGATGCCAGAGGTCAGAGGAGAATGGCCAGATTGTTTCGAGCTGATAGAAAGGCAACAGTAGCTCAAATAACCACTCGTTTCAACCGAGGTACGCAGGAGAGCATCTCTGAACACAAAACACGTCGAACCTTGAAGCAGATGGGCTACAGCAGCAGAAGACCCCACCGGGTGCCACTTCTGTCGGCTAAGAACAGGAAACTGGGGCTACAATTCGCACGGGCTCACCAAAATTGGATAATAGATTGGAAAAATGTTGCCTGGTCTTATAAGTCTTGATTTCTGCTGCGTCATTCAGATGGTAAGGTCAGAATTTGGCGTGAACTACATGAAAGCATGGATCCATCCTGCCTTGTATCAATGGTTCAGGCTGCTGGCGGTGCTGTAATGGTTTAGGGGATATTTTCTTGGTACACTTTGGGCCCCTTAGTACCAATTGAGCATCGTTTAAACACCACAACCTACCTGAGTATTGTTGCTGATCATGTCCATCCCTTTATGACCACAGTGCACCCATCTTCTGATGGCTACTTCCAGCAGGATAACATCACCATGTCACAAAGCTCAAATCATCTCAAACTGGTTTCTTGATGACTTCACTGTATTCAAATGGTCTCCACAGTCACCAGATCTCAATCCAACAGAACAACTTTGGGTTGTGGTGGAACGGGAGATTTGCATAATGGATGTGCAGCCAACAAATCTGCAGCAACTGCCTGATGCTATCATGTCAATATGGACCAAAACCTCTGAGGAATGTTTCCAGCACCTTGTTGAATCTATGCCATGAAGAATTAAGGCAGTTCTGAAGGCAAAAGGGGGTCCAACCCGGTACTAGCAAGGTGTACCTAATAAAGTGACCAGTGACTGTATATTTTTTTTATATAATTACACTTTTTCACCCAAATTGTACTGTTTTTCAAATGATTTGTCGGCCCACTTGCAATACCTTCTTGGCCCACAGGTTGGGAACAACTGACCGAAGGAAAGATATTTTAATGACATGATAGATTTAAGGTGAGGTAGATATAACATAATACAATATAACATCCTACCAAATACAAGAACACTGTGGAGATATCAGTATTAGATAAAATTGCACTTCTTTTTCTATAAATAGTTGTAATGTTTCCACAGTATAATGCCTGTAATGGATAACGGATAATGATAAAGTATGTTAGCTGGATTAAAGGTTCACAATACCAGCATGTTGTTGCCTTTCAGCGAGTGTGTCCTTTTTCTTATAAACAACACAAGTAGTGTGTGTCGTTAATGCAGTGAGATAAAAGCATAGAAGTGTGTGTGGTGGGTGTCAGACTTTCATGCAGGAGGCTGCAGTTTGTTTCCTGCCACAGAATCACATTCAGCTTTTTATGAACTATAGCATAATCTTTTCCCTGTTACCAAGTGTTTTAGTTACCATTTTTACCATAACTGAAAACATGCTGCAGATACTGTAGAAAGAGACAATTTTAAATTTGAGGTTTTAAAAAACAATGTTCTCATTGGGACAATGCCATAGCACGTTCCTGGTAGATTACAATTTAATCTATTGTTTATCCTGAAGTTGTCAAGATCTGCTAGGCTTGTTTCCAGAGCTGTAAACGCATTTCGTTCTCCTAAAATTCTAAACTGCTGTGCTTTTTTTGTCATCTGACAAATCACTGCCATGATTGGAGAGCTTTTTAAAAAATTCCTATTATGGGGTGTCGAGTGGCGCAGTGGTCTAAGCAGGTGCCCCATATGTAGAGGCTACAGTCCTATCTGCAGTTGGCCCCGGTTCCCATGTTGGACGACCCTTTACTGCATGTCATTCCCCCTCTCTCTGCCTCCCCATTTCCTGTCTCTCTCTACTGTGCTATCATAAAAAGACCAATAAAATATACTTTAAAAAAAATCTCTGAACTATTGTGTTCAAGGTCACATTCTTTTCTTTATCTAATCCGATTGATATTTTCATCTGTGGGAGTTTGCTGCTTCATGGAAATGACTCCTTTAAATTCGTCCTGCCTCTGTGAGCTCAGATGTTGAATCTGAACTGGGCTGTCCAAGGAGGAGGGGGATCCAGAGGGTGTGCTGGTGTGTTGTGCTTTAAGCCAGTCCTTCCCCCATACACACACACACACACACACACACACACACACACACACACACACACACACACACACACACACAGACAAGAAACACCCACACTTCTGTGGAACTTCCTTACTCAATCTGGCTGACTTATCATGGGGTGACTTGAACTGACGTTGAGTCAGACAGTTCTGATCGTCAAACAAGTCTCTCTGAGTTAAACAACAAACAGAAGGAGGTAAGTCATCTCAGCTTAGCATGATCTTAATTTACACAAAAATCTGCTTTTATTTCCTGGGCTTCTCAGAGGTTCTCAGTTAAATGCTTTGTTTTCTTGCTCTTGTTTTCATGGCTTACAGGAGCACACCTGCAGAATAAAATATCAATCAAATATATACTGACTGCATCATGTGGTGAATGATTTGTTGTATTTCTGACAGATTTTCCTACAAACAGTTGAGATGGAAACTACAACATTTGATTATGACTACAATAGCAGTGTGGTCCAGGTCCCCCCGTGTGATCCTAATGATGTCAACAAACTGGGAGCTCATCTATCCGTCCCTTACTACTTCATGTTTCTCTTCAGTGTCTTTGGCAATGGGCTGGTCCTGGTCATCATCCATCGGTGAGTGGACTCAACAAAAATCGGAGCTTGAATTAAAACACTGAGTATGTAGTGCGGGAGTTATTAAAAAGAATCACAAACAATATTCTTAGTTCAGGAGTTTAATGCAGAATGCATGACCCGACAGTTTTTAAAACAGGTCAGTGATTTATAATTTAATAAAAACACAACCTTTACTGTAAAATTTCAAATAGGATAAAATTCTAATTTGAAAGTAGGTGTAAATTAGAATTGTAAAACTTAAAGTGATAGTTGTTGTTATTTGACGTGGGGCTGTGTGAGGTACTTATCTATAGTCAGTGTATTTCCTGCAGTAGATTCAGATCAGGTCCCAGTTTAGAGAAGCAGCAGGAGCACCAACACAGGAGCTGAGTGATGAGCTGCTGTGGACAGGGTCAACAAAAAAAATTTACTTCAGCCACTTTAAAAAATGCCTGCAGAAAAAAAGTTCATATCAATTTAAGTGTTCACTTTATTTTGAATGTTTTCACCATTTTATCTTGCTGTCAAACAGCCCTTTCCTTTAGAACTAAATTTTTCAACTGATCTACTGCATTCCTACGCACAAATGCACCTACGCTTAGCACTGTCTCAAAAAGGTGATCCGCAGAGTAACAGTGCACACCGTAGGTGCGTAGCAATACGGCAGTTCGACGGTTGAAATCTGTAGCTCCTAAGCAAATTTAAATAAATCGTACACTTAAACTCATATTAGCTTTTTTCTGTGGGCATTATTTTTGCTGTCCACAGCAGCACATCAATCAGCCTCTGTGCTCCTGCTGCTTCTCTGAACTGGCGGTGCACCGATCTAAGTCCACTGCAGATAATACGCAGACAATAGATAAGTACCTCAGACAACCTCATGTCAAATAACCCAAACTATCACTTTATGATTTTAGTGCTGGTTAATCTACAACATCTGTGGTCACCGTGCTTTAACACAACTGGAAAACCTTGTTGAGCTGCTACTTACAGCACAGGGTCAACTGAGGATCTGCTCACAGTGCAACTAAACAAACATAAGAAAGAGGTCAGTCGATGATCGGCCTTGGTGAAAACAGCACTGACAAAAAATATCAAAAAATGCCAATGTCTTGTTTTGCTGGTTGTAAGCTTTTAATGTGAAGCTGCAGCTGTAGAAAATGTTTGGTTTGCATCAGCAGCAACTTAATACAACTCAAATATGTTTGAGAGGGAGTGAATAGTCCACAGTGACGTTGATATCAGTGAGATCAAATTACCATATATTATAACAGCAACATTAGATTACATGGTTTTCTTCTTCAAGTCATGTGCATGAAGGCAGTGTATATCCAGAGCAGGGATGGTGGAAGAACATTCATTACAGACTTTAAATAAACAGGATGGCTATTGCTGAAAAGCTGCTGGCCATAAATGGTATCAACGTAGGATTTGATTAAGGATTTTACTGCTATATTTTGTCTACCCTCACTTGGTGGACAAAATTGCAGTCTACTGCAAAACAGTCCAACAGAACCACAAATTACAGGCTCCAGAAAATGAGCATAAAGTTGAATCAACACCTCCCTGAAACAGTTTCAGTTTCTCACATTTGGGAGGCAGAATGGACAGAGTGCCTGGGACATAGCAGAGAAGCACTTCCATGACAGGATTCAGTTCTGGGCCATTTGGGGCAGTGGTGGATTTGACTGGAGATGTCATCAGGTTGTCAGAAAAAATGACACCTGACTGAGAGAGGATGAGATGAAGTCATACCAGGAGGCTCTTATTCTTGTGCCCGGTGACAGAAAGAGATGAATACAGTAGCTATTCAGTAGGTAAAGTTCCTCTCTGTAAGCCCCATGAGAGTTACTTCTACTCTGTCACTGTCTGCTAACTCTCCGCTCCCTTGTTTCCACCGCTGCTTTCTACCTTTGTGAGCGAGCGAATGTGAAAAATATTCCTGGTGATCATGGAAACACAAATGACAATGTCAGAGATGAACTCAGCAAAGTCTCACTGGGCCTTGGACTGAAAGGGATGTTTTTATAATGCAGCATATGACAGAGGGTTGAAAAGATGCTATGCCAGTTGCATGTTGACGGGGATCAGACTCAAAGAGAGAGGAAAAAACACTCTCCCCCTCATTTTATTCACAAAGCTTAGTTACAAGTCAAATGGACATTTTATTTTTCTTTTGAGCTGGATGTAAAACTTTAATTCAAAATGCAGACCAGTGCAGATGTGCTGCGCCCAGTCCCATCTGGACAAATGTTGAGTCCTTTATTTGTGACAGTCAGAAATATAATGATATATTGTTATAACTCCCCTCAGGGTTATAAACTCATTTCAAATCCTTGTTTTCAGGACTTACATTTCTGATTTTAACAACCCCTTGTGGTTATTTTAATAAAAGATAATGTGGCAATATATGCTGGGTATGAGTAAGAATATACTGTACAGTTATACAGTTTTCCTCTGGCTCTAAATGTCAAAAACAGGAATGTGATGGGAAAAACTGGTTCTGTATAACATGCAAATATGCATCTTTGTTACATATAAAAATAAAACTAAACAAACAAAAAAAGCACAGTGTCTTATTACAGAAATGGCATTTTTCATCCATTTGTTCATTCCAAACAAAATGTATTTATTTTGCATTTATTTATGTATTTATTTATACTTATGTTGTTTTTTTTGTCCTTCATATTTGTGGACACACAACTCGTGTCACACTATACTAAGCTAAAGATCTGTCAATTTGTTTAACTGCCACCAACCAAACCACAGATTCAGGGATTCAGATTCCACTGAAAGATAATAGATCATGTGAAATATCACTGTTAAAAATGCCTGAACCATAGAATCTGTTCTTCTCTAATAACTGTTTAAATGACCTTTTCCTAGGTTTGAGAAGCTGAGCACAGTGACCAACATCTTGCTCCTGAACCTGGTGTTGTCCTCCCTGATCTTCATGAGCAGCCTTCCCTTCATGGCCGCCTACATGCAGCTCTCCAATTGGATCTTCGGCAGCGTTATGTGCAAGCTAATGGGCAGCGTGTATTATTTGGGTCTCTACAGTTCTGTCCTCTTTCTAACTCTCCTGACCTTCGACCGACACCTCGCTGTCGTGTACTCCTTGGACGCACTGCGAGTCAGGAACAGATGCTATGCAGTGTGCTCCTGTGCTGTGGTGTGGCTGGTCAGCAGCCTGGCGTGCATCAAGCCGATGATGCTCCTAAACACATATACTGATAATATTAATGAAAGAACCATCTGTGAAGAGAATACAGGCCTAAATAATGACGTGCTGATAAAATCTGGACTTTACCTTCAGCTTTTCCTTTTCTTCATCTTCCCTCTGGTTGCTATTATTTACTGTTATGTTAGGATTGGACTCACTGTCATATCATCCAGGATCGTCAGCAAGTTCAAGACAGTCAGGCTGATATTCATCATTGTCCTTTTGTTTTTCCTGTGCTGGACCCCATACAACATTGTACTGCTGACACGCGGTACCACCTGCCAGCAAAAACGCAAAAGGGGTTACGCACTTCATGTCACTCGTAACTTGGCCTACATTTACTTTTGCATCAGTCCCATCTTCTACACATTTGTGGGGAAAAAGTTCCAGAGTTACTTCAGACAGATGCTGGTGAAACACTTCCCACGGTTACAGAAGCACATTTCCGTCGATCGTAACAGCAAATACAATATATCCACAAAAAGCACACCGAATGAATTTTAGGAATGGAAAGCCTTTGACTTCTCAGCACTGGCATATGTTCAACAAACCATGGTTTTACAAACAACTCAAGGAAGCCATAATAATTTTAAGGCTGTCGAGGCGCAAAGCAATGAAGTCCAAGCAGGAAAAAAAGGTTCTCTCATAGCAGGATCAAAGATTTCTGTGATACAAATCAATATCTACACTATGGTTGGCCATGTCTATTCTCAAGCCATTAAAAATTTGTGTTATGTTGTCAAAGTCCAGCCCAACCTTTTAATTTGTCATCATGTCATGTATGTAGCATCAACACAATTATCACACTATTCAGTAAAAAAAAGTTCTTGGTTTCACAAAATCTCACCTTTATGTAGCCGACAGCTCAATATGTTAGGAGGGCAATGAAGAACATTGTTTTACTCACATTAGTGTGTCCTGCACTCACACAGTATTCTCCACACAGGTGAGAGCACTTGAACTTCTGAATGACAGGTGACATTCGTCAGGCTGAAATGAGTCACTGAATTTTGCGCCCATCATATTTTAGTTGTCGGCATCGTCTTTGTGTGACAGAATTTATGGGCAAAATGAGGATCCGAAAATTTGGGCAAACTTTAAACATATAAAACATTTGAATGACTCGAAGATTGATGTACGAAAAGTGGTTCACTATGTATTTTTACCACAGAATGAATCAAGCATGCACACTCTGTTCAGTGATTCTCCACATGACCTCCAGTCTGCTAACGCCTGCTAGTGACTGGATTTGTTTTGATTGTTTATATCTCATATTGTTTCTTCTTGTTTCTTCTTTTAAAGATTTTTTTTAATGATTTTTCTATAATTAATATTGTCCTTTGTAAAATTGCTCTTAAATGATTCATTTATTTAATTAATTAATTTAATGTCTAGATTGTCAAGTATTGCACAAATCACAGTTTACATTGAAAGAAAACAGTGAACTGTGAGCGAAAAGCCAAAAAAGGGATGTTAAAAGCTTCATGCAATTAGTTGATGTTTGTTTGATTTTTCTCTTTGTTTGTCTGTATTTGATTTGATTAAATCAACCCTTTCAATCAGCAGGCTGCATGTTTTGGTTGTCACATCCTGCATATTTCCAGGATAAATGTCCCTTTTCAAATAATCCCTTTCACCTTGTTCATTTTGAAAGGTAGTAGCTCATGGTTTGAGTGGAAGTTCAAATACAAGTTTTCATTTTCATGTTTAAAAGAAAACAAGACCACAAGAATGCATTACTGATCTGAAAGGTTTTCCCCAACAATTCCACAGAACTAAAAATGCTATTATGAAGAAAATTGTCTGAAGATTGAAGAGGTTGAGCCATCGATTACAAAAAATAGAAGTTTTCTCACTCACTTCTATTATCTAGTGAGATATTTGTCTCTGACATGTCTGCCTCCGCCCTATGGAGCAGTGTTTACATTGTCATTCTGTGGATAATCTGGACTATCACTACTGATTCTGAAGAGAGATGTTGCTGTTTGATGCTACTGATGTGACTGCATGAATGGCAGTGTCAGATGGTCAAGACTGAAACATCTCAACAAATACAGACATTTTAACAGACATTCATTTTCCACAGATAGCAAAATAAATTGGGCCACATGCTTGTTTTCTTCTGGCCCAGTAAACGCTCGGTTCTGTGGCCTGAATCTGGCCTGTATGACGCATGACTGTCAGATGCTACTTCCACATCTGGATGAATTCTGGTGGATAGGACAACAGCTGGATTCTGCCCAGATGTGGAAGTACATGTACCAGACTCGGGCTGAGGACCAAGCCCTATGTTGGGCCAGAAGTTTCATTTTGCTGTCTTGCTAGGATGAATCCTTTAAATCACTTTGGTGGCACCCTGATGTTTCCTCTAGCGCCACCCAGAGGTTAATATTTTTTAATTTCAGCAGAACATCTCAGCAACTTCTGGATGAACTGTAACAACATTAGTGATCTCCTCACCTTTCACCTTTCACCGTCATCAATTTAAACGTCTACTTTGTCCAATACTTTGGTTTATGCAAAACAGGAGGTGGTAAGACGGTGGATATTATACCTGCTAAACATCAGCATGTTAGCATTGTTATTGTGAGAATGTTAGTATTCTGAGTTAGCATTTAGCTCAATGCACCTCTGTGCCTAGAGCTGTTAGCATAGCAGTAAACTATTAGTGTTGTTTAAGTATCAATTGCTGTACAATACAGTGGGGTCCTAAAGTCTAAAAGTGGTCCCAGACTTTTGCTGTAAATATAAAGTATTTTGAGTTAAACAATGTTTTTTCTTCTTGTTTTTTATTTACATAAATGAAGGGGGCAGAATATTAGGCCACGTCCACCCTACTACAACTCAGGAGTAGTGTGGATGCCAGGTGTTAACATGTCATAATTTTAAAATTAAAATATAGTATTGTGGATGTAACCTTACAAACAACTCTGTATATATTTTACTAGGAAGTCCCATTGAGATACAAGATTTCAATAGAGACCTAGCCAAGATAGCAGCCACAGAACTCACCACATATTAAAATACAGCATAGAACATAAAACACCACATACACCGCAATTTGAACTCAATGGCATCTACAGACAAACAATTATATATCTCATTAACCACACTCTTTATGATGCCCTTAAAATGTTCAATGGATATACAGTAAATTTATCTAATTTTAGATTCTTCTGCAGATCATGACTCAATTTCATCATGTCTCAGCACTGAGGTCATAGTGGTGTTGTTGTGCTGCACTGCATTATGTTCAGAGGTGTTTGCAATGTAACAGTTCTGGCTTATTACGAAAAGTCTAAGTTTTTAGCACCTTACTCATTAAGGATCTTTTTATCATTGATTGGATTAACACCTCGATGACAGTGTCGACAAAAACAGTTGTATTGGATTGCATTAGTTTGTACAGGTGCACCTCATAAATAACACTCCAATTAGGTGAGAAAATATTTGTTAATTTAGACGAATCTGCCCCTTAATGAAGTTTTGCTTTGAACACATCAGTCTTCTATTTACTGGATCTGCTCTTTATCTTAAGATTAAATAGCAAATAAATAAATAATGAGATCAACCACAGAGACCAAGTCATCTTATTGTTTCACCAGCCACAGCTGTAAACACCATTATTTGTCACAATGTCTGAGCTTGGTCCTCGCATGGGTGCAATTTTTAAGCGCTGGCAGATCACCTGTCAAACTACCCTCACTGCCAAATTTCACCCTGTGTGCTGCTCAATGATAAATTGTAACCCAAGCTTAAATTTCTGCCATTCTTTCTGCAGGAGAGAGGGAAGAAAAAAAATCAAGCTGTCAAGAATGAATAGGAGTGTCAGCAGAAAGTAATGCTTTCAGATAAGAGGTCTTTCCATCCGTTTTTCTCTGTTATGTCATGAGCAAAGTCAAGGCTGGCGAAAAGTTAGAGGAGTCCTATATTATTGTACTAAAGATTATCAGATTAAACATGTTTTGCATGTGGGAGGAAAGAGGAAGTGGAGTATTGTGCAACAGCGTATTGCCTGTGCATTAATATTTAAGCAGCACTCTTGTTGCTTAAGGTGAATCTAATATTTAATATTTTATAATTGGGCTGCAGCTAATGATAATTTTAATTATGGATTAATCTGCTTATTATTTTTATACATTGTAATTGTTTGGGTTGGAAAACATCAGAAAAAAAGTGTTAAACGCAAATCACATGATTTACGTGATGATTTACTGTTTTTCTTTTCCACTATAGGTGGAAAAAACAGATGGAAAAGAAAAACAGTAAATCGTCACATTTCAGCAGCTGAAACCAGGAGATTTTGTGAATTTAATGAATAATTGGCTCAAAACAGCCGCTGACAAATTGCTGAATACATTTGAAAGTGAAGGAACAACAACAGAGGTGTGTTGTGTATTATAAGAGTGACTTGTTAAAAGGTGAGTGATAGTTGGACGATAAGTGGCTCCCTGTAATATATCAGGGCCCATGACGTCTCTGTTTTGATCTATAAGTTTTCATGGAGCTGTATAATGTGTTTTTAATGTGTCAGCATGCAACACTTCTGTTGTTTTGCAGTAGAAATAGTAGAATAATTAACCAAAATGACAAGTTTGATGGACACAAGCACAGAGGTTTCTGTTGTTATTTTGCAGTCATCTAGTGCTTGTTGCACAAAACGTAACCAGCGGATCTGCATCTACATGAATAATGTCATAGAAAAAGATGTTGTAACGGATGAATACAGAGAGTGGACCCAAAAGCGGAACTTGAGACACTCAGCAGGTAAAGTCACAGTCTTTACTTACATAGAAATATATACAACCACACACGCAGGGAAAAAGAGTAGAACTTTGACACAAGTGAACAAAACGAACTGACACAGAGTGATGGAAACACTGAGGCCCAGTCCCAGTGTCCACTCTCACAGACTTGGAGGTGTGTTCCCCGTGAGGTCGTGAGGGCTTAGGGCTGTTCCCACTCTCCCACCATCAAGGGCATGAGGGCTCTCCAGCAGAGGTTTTGAGCCCTTTATGCACACTTTGCCTGAGAGAATTACCCAAAATTCATAGCATTGTGACAATAAACATGGGGTTGCCATGGTTCACAGGGGATGCTCGGAAGCGTAAAAAACAACAACAATGGCCATAAAACGCAAGAAATAATAAGAAAGAAGAACAAACAAACAAGCATGACAGCAATGAACCCTAATGTTAGCATTACTAGAAAAAACACAGAGCTCACTGTGATTCAGAGCCAGAGCTGTGGAGTTATTTGTCCTATGATGACATGATGATGAATTCCAAATATACTTTCATCACATCTGTTCCAACATTATTATTTTGTTTAAAAACAGGGAGCAAAAGGAGGGAATAAAAATGTAGAATCAAAAGTCCCAAACCCACAGTTGAATGCAAATGTTTTGGCATCATCAAGATAACATGATGTCACAAAGTGCTGTCGCATTCCTCTTTTTACAATTTTGAGCCCTTGCAGCCTCTCGCACTCAATCACTCGCCAGGTGATGTCAATTAAGACTGTGAGGGTTCAGGGTTTAGGCCTTAAGGGGGACATTGGGCCCCTGACTAAATACACTGGGGCAAGGGAGACAATGACACAAAGGTGCAACACATTAGGGCGGAGTCAAGTAATCACACAGGAGGGCAGGAAGTGCAGGGACCTGGAATTAGACAAGAGGTGAGTATCAAAATAAAACAGGAAACACAAATGAGGGAAGAAGACGAAAGGGACTTAACTGGCAAGATGGGACGGAATTAACTAGCGGTAACTAACTAGCTCAGCGAGGGCATCGACACCACCGCCCTCTCCATGAGATGTGGTGAAGACAAGACAAGATGGCTGGCAGCAAACTTATAAAGCAGTGAACTGTGACCTGGAGGTGTTGGAAAATCACAGCACAGTGACCGTTTGTAGTTGCACTGTGTTTTCATTTCCTCAACAAATATGTATTACTAGTTTCACAATTGAGACGTCAACAAGCGTAGAGGAGAAGCTTCTCATGGTGTTTCTATGTGCTCTGCTATTGGAGAGACAGAGACAACAACAACACTAACACACTGCGAGGAGAAAAGTGGCGCTGCATCTCTCTAACTACAATAATTTGAGTCATTATACCCATAATGCCTTGTTTCTCGCTTTTAGGGGGATATCTCAAAACTTACAGGCCGTACTCATGATATTAAACCTTCTTTAACACAGGGCATGAAACGTGTTTGAAAGCAAGGAAACCATCTTCTGTATGACTGGTATTGTGTATTGTTGGTTCATCCCTTGTATAGACACAATAGAGAATAAATAGATATCGACTGAATAAAAATGAGTTCATAGTGAATTACAGTTCCCTTAAATCTCATAAGCACAAGTGCATGAAGTTCAGCTGTAAATGACACATCATTTCATGATATTACAAATGTCAACATTAATATTAGAACCAATGAAAAATAAAGCGGATGTTCCTGTTTTCTCAAACAGCTTCTTTCTATGTGCAGTTTTGATGTTTTCACATGAGAGATTTGTGAGTTTAAAGTGGGCAGGGCTCAGTTGCAAAAACATGTTCACT